CGAGGCCTAGATGTGGCACATGGCCGAAAGTATGGGGCACCCAGTGAGGATCGAACTCATTATTCACTTGTAACAAGACCACCTTGCTAACCATTACACCACGCAGAGGCAGCCCAGTTATTTTCTAAGCGTGGCTTATATGTGGCACAAGGCCGAAAGTATGGGACACCTAGTGAGGAACGAACTCACTTTTCAGTCGTAACTGATCTAGTGAGACAAGCTTGCTAACCATTACACCACGCCGAGGTGCCCTATCCGGCTCTAATAATCATATCTACTCAAGCATATATTTGCAGAAAAGCTGAGCATCATCTACCATGTAATCAATTGTGAAAGCAGAATAACATATATTTTAAAATTAAACTTGGCATTAAATGATCTATAAGGAGTTGATATGCCGTTAAACGAATCAACTAACTCACCAAAAGAAGAGACAGAGGAAATAAATGGACTAGCATTATCACTGTAGACTGGGAAATCCTTCACAGAGACTCAAACACTAGCATGCATCTGAGACATATGGTGGAAGCTGGTCAAATGTACAGCAACCTTACGACCACACCCGGTCATACGAATAATGACGATTATGATAATGAAAGATTATCGCCTTTCGAAACACGAATTTTCCTAACAAATATGAATATTTTTTTTTTCTTTTAAAAGAACACAAAAAAAAAAACGTTTTAATACTAAAGTGTTTTATTATTCTTTGTACGAAGATTAACGTGATTCATGTTCCTACAAATTGATAATTAAATAGTGGCCAGGGTGTCAACTTGCTCGGCCTCTGATGGTGTGGGTCCTCTATATCAAATAAAAATGCAATAAAAAAACAAACATGGCAACTGTTTTAGTAATAAAAACGAATAAGAACATTATAAAGTCATCTGCACGCTATCAGTTTTACTCAAGTCCATTGTGAGAGGACATCTTCAAAGATCATAAATTCATGATTAAGAAATTCGCTGCCTGAGAATTTGAAATCCTACATTTTGCTATCCATTGAAAAGGAATTGTTAGATAAATTGAATGCAGAAACAATTATTGGCAGATTTTAACAATCATCTAGTGAACACAAATGATTGCTCTTAATAAAGTGGACTGCATAGAATGTCCTATTGTACCTTTGAACTTTCTGTTAATGTATAATCTATTGTGCAGTAAGCTATTTAAAATATCAAACAAGTACTTAACATTAGTCAATTATAAAATTCTGTAGCTGTATTTGGTTTACATGCATACTGTAATAATAAAGAAATACATTTTTCTTTCACCAAAATTTAAACTTTTCTTTAAAATTTTATTTATTCTTTAAGAAAATTAAATGAGCGTATTGTACATTATTTACATTATTCGGACTATTGTTTTCATCTTTGTCGCCATATTTATCACAACGTTTCGGCCGTTGTACGCTCCGGCCTTCTTCAGGTGGTTGGAATGTCGAACTGAACCTTTATTTCGCTCACCGGGGTAGACTGTTCTAGTTCCACGTGCCATGTTTGATGGATGTTAGTTATCAGTTATCTCCTGTTAATTTCCTGGAACTAGAACAGTCTACCCCGGTGACTGAAATAAAGGGTTCAATTCGACATTCCAACCACCTGAAGAAGGCCGGAGCGTACAACGGCCGAAACGTTGTGATAAATATGGCGACAAAGATGAGGACAATAGTCCGAATAATGTAAATAATGTACATAATACCTCATGTCAGAAATATAGACAGAGCGTATTGTAGTTGTGGGTTAGTCCAGTTTGTAACCTGAAAACCAATAATTTTAGAGACAGTCCGCCACTACTCAAGATGAATAACAGATAATGTATCCCTTTTTCTTTTATGTTTTTTCAGGATCATGGTTCTCCATACTTTCCTATCCTTTGTAACTCTTAGCGATATTTGTTTCCTTGCTTTCCCTTCTGTTCTTGTTCTGCCATCCATTTACATAAACTCGTTAATTAGATAACTAACCGTTTTACTCTGCTCATCATGTTTTCAATACGCCTTGTGAGTGTTACATTCTACTAGCCTTCTTGCCTCATTATGTATCCAGAGATTTTAAATGGCTTTTCTGATTCTAACCAACAGTCTATTTCTGTTTCCATTTGCCTTCAGACCTCTTTGATGCTCAGATGTTCAGAGAACAATAAAGAATAGGAATGGAGAAGATATAAGATAACAATTGAATTTAAATTTTTGAAGATCAAAATTGACTGGAAATTAAGAACCCGGAAGAGAGTTCCACAAATAAGAAGTGCGAGAGAAAAATTATTAGCATAGAACATACGACTGTAAAATCTCGACTGTGAAAAAAATTGTCAGAATCCCCAAAATACGTTTTAGCTTTAAATAACCGACAAAGCTGTAAAAAAAAAAAAAAAACCCAAAAAACCCTAAAAAAACAAACCAAAAAACAAATAAATTAAGTTCCGTTTCTAATGAAATTTTCCTTTTTCTTAATATTTTGTTTAGCTTTTGCAAGCCATCTTTCTCTGACTGAATGTGTATTTGAAAAACTTCCCATTATTCATCGCCTGTTACAACTCTTCCCAGTAACATTTCTGTACTTCTTTGATTCTGCCATCTCCAATATGTAGATAACATCTTGGGTTGTCCTTTTTGCTAACTACCATACATTCTTTTTTTTTTACAATTGATGGTTAGTTCTTTCGTCATGCTTTCATTACTATCATGTCTAGGAGTTCCTGCAGTTTTCTTTCTGTGTTTACCATCAACCTATGTTATGTAGTGCCTTACCTTGTTAAATCTGTGTCCGTCAATAATCCTCGCAGGATTTTAGTTTTCTTAGGGTGGCCTCGTGTATGGGATTGATATCAATCATCAATTCCCTCTTTGTTTCTAACAATTTTTTTCCTGTTTCTTACTTTGTTTAGTCTTTGAAAAGCTCTTTTTCTATTCCCCCACGTCTTCGGATTATATTCTGTGTCACATTTTCCATTGTCTGTTATAACATCTTGTCATGTAATTCTGTCATGTATTTAGAGATTCTTGATAAAATAAAGAGAAGAATGTGTAATATTATTGGTCCTGACGTGGCATCTCGTCTTCAGTCATTATTCCACCGATGTAATGTAGCTTCCCCGTGCTTTTTCTACAAATATTTTCATAGTTATTGCTCTGATGAGCTTTCCTCTAGGGTACCATGATTTATTAAAACTGACTACTAGATTAACTGCAAAGTCTCATCCTTTTACTGTTGAAATGTCTAGATGTAACCCTAAGTTCCTTCTCTCGCACTCTCTTCCGGCTTCTTGCTTTCCAGTAAGCTTTGATCTTTAAAACTTTAAATGCAATATCAATCGCTATCTACTGACTTCTTAATTACTCTTCTATTGTTCTCTCTTCGTAATAATCTTTCTCTTTTTTCCCATTCTTTCACACTCAGTAACCCCTTTTGTCTTAGTAGCTAGATATAACCGTAAGTTCTATGTGAGCAGTTTCTTCTATCGCACTTATCACACTTCTTCAAGAATTTAAATGCAATGTCAATTATTATCTTGTTTTCTTAATTCCTGTTTTTTTTATTGTTACCTATCCTTAATATTTTTCTCTTTTTCAACGGCTTACATCTTTGTAGCTTTATTGCCTTGCTTGAATAGAAATTCCCAGATCGTAAAAATTTCTGTACTTGCTTGATTTTGGTGTCTTTATTTTCTAAGTCGCATCTTCATTTTCTCTGTCCTTTTTCCATTTAGTGTGTCCTATGAGTGTCAAATTATCTACGCCCTTAAATTATCTACGCCCTTAAATTATCTACGCCCTTAAATTATCTACGCCCTTAAATTATCTAAGCCCTTAAATTATCTACGCCCTCTTCTCTCAATATTTGTCTAAGAAATGTCAACTGTTGCGTTCTGATCTCAAATCCAAGTGTCCTGTTTACCCATTTCCTTAAAACTTTCTCGTTGCCCCGTCCATGTTATTCTCAGCATCCTTCTGTAGAACCAAATCTCTGTTGCCTCATGTCTCCTCTTCATCTGTAAGGAAATTATTTATATATATAAACTGTTGTACACATCTTTGTTGTTTTCATCTTCCAAGTATGGCTTTCTAATCTGAATTACAACTATCACGTTTTGCGTATTTCCTTAAAACTTCCACATTGCTCACATGCCCCATTTATGGTATTCTTCGTTGCAATATACAAGAATTAATATTACATAACTATTCAGTAAAACTTTCTGTTGTAGAGTAGCTAGCAACCTTTCAGCACTGTACCAGATGACCTGGCTCATAGCCTTAAATGGTCCACGATTAAAGACTTAAACAGTTGATTAATAAGTTTATCAGTCAGTCAGCTATATGCTATGCGTGATACACATTTAGGCGATCATGTATCTTTCGATACATAACTGACGAGGCAGTTGGTTGCTATTTATTTCTGCAGTAGACCAGTTGCCATCCAAGGCTATAGAACCCGGTCTGTCTGTTTACCTATAAGACGTTAATGCTAAGTTGATTAATATTCGGACTAATCTTTGGCTATACAGCATTTGACCCTCCTCTATTCCTTATAAGTTGTCCTGTTAATTGTTTTTTTAATGTGTTGTACTGTGTTTTTTGTATGTACCGTTAGCATCGGATGCTGGTGTTGAATAAATATATTAAGCACTCATTCTTCTCTGTGCATCATTCACCTAGACGATACAGGAGTTTCCTTTGATTTTAAATTTTCCTTTTTCTTAATACTTTGTTTAACCTTTGAAAGGTATCTATCTTTACTCTGTTCATATTTACCATTGTCTGCAATAACACTCGTGAAAATCGTTAACTTTCTGTACTTGTTCGATTTAGGAAAACATTTTGGATTGACGTATTTTTTGCCGGTGAAAGTTTTGTGCTGTTTGAGATATTTATTTATCGAACTAGGAAGGTCGAATTTGCACCTGTTGCCGTAGAAGATTTACTATCATGATATTCCCCAACCAGGTGTCTATTCTGCTGGAGGTAATTCGGTTTCCATGTAAAAATACGAAATAATTTCCTATAGAGAGACGGGCAGACAGACAGACAGAGACACAGAGAAAGATAGAGAGAGAGAGAGAGAGAGACAGGCACTCAGGAGAGACAAAGAGAGAGAGAGAGAGAGACTGGCAGATAAGGACGCAGAGAGAGAGAGAGGGAAACAGCGAGGCAGAGACAGAAACAGAGATAGACCAACAGAGAGAGAGAGAGAGAGAGAGAGAGAGGGGCACTCAGAGAGACAAAAAGAGAGAGAGACGGGCAGAGAGACTGGCAGATAAGGACAGAGAGAGAGTGAGAGAGAGTGAGAGAGAGAGAAAGCGAGAGAGGCAGAGACAGAAACAGAGATAGACCAACAGAGAGAAACAAACAGAGAGAGAAAGATAGGCAGACAGAGAGAGCAACAGAGAGAACTAGAGAGAGAGACTGATGCAGACAGACAGGGACAGAGAGAGAGAGAGAGAGAGAGAGAGAGAGAGAGAGAGAGAGAGGCATTGGTTAAAACAGACCTAAAAACAGACTGGGAAACAGAGACAGACTGAGAGACAAACTCAGAGAGACAAACAGGCAGACAAAACGGCAGAGAGAGCTAGAGGGAGACTGGTGCAAAGAGAGACAGGCAGACAGACAGAGACAGAGAGAGACAGAAAGACAGAAAGAGAAACAGACAGACAAACTGAGAAACAGAAAGAGAGAGATGAGAGAGAGAGACAGGCAGACAGATAGACAATGAGAGAGACGGAGACAGACAGACAGAGACAAAGAGAAAGAGACAGACAGTAAGAGCGAGGGAGTGGCAGACAGAGAGAGAGAGTGGAAGACAAAGAGAGAGAGAGAGAGAGAGAGAGAGAGAGAGAGAGTAAAATGTGTGACAAGGCTGATGAATCTTTAAGATGCATTAGCAGAAAAGATGGTGCTTTAAAAGGTAATAGGATAGAAAAGCTCATTTGATACCCAGAGTTCGAGTCCTAGTAAAAGGCCATAATTTGATTTCCAAATTTTGGAAGGCTATTCTGGTTGATTTTCTTCTTCTTTTACCGTTTGCAGGTTATTTAAAGCCAGAAAACATTTTCGGATTGTAAGAATTTTTTGGAGATAATAATGATTTACTGAATTAATTTCTACTGTTTAATCCAAAGCTGGGGGAGAAGAGATTTTCATACCTTTGCAAAGGGTATTTACGCATAAGTGAATATAACGAACCCGACTTGAATTGGAAGCTCTTCAAATTCCAATTCCGAGCCAATATCCATTACACCACCCACACGTCCAAGCTTACAACATTTGGTATTCACATACAGTCAACTATTTCAGGCTAAACGTTTATTAATTTCGGTGATCGGGCGATAACTATTGTTTCATCATGCTATGTCAGTAAGCCAGTAAAGTGCAAGGAAACAGCAAAATTCCGTTAGAAACAAAGAAAAGAACGCTGAACAGTTATGTGACATTAATTCTTCTATATGGCAGGGAATTCTTGGAAATCTCCTCACAGATGAAGAGAAAATAGGACGCAATAGAAATGTAGTTCTTCAGAAACATACTGAAGGATACTAAGAATACCATGGACGGAGCATATGAGTAATGAGGAAGATTTAAGGGAGACAGAGGAAAAAAGGCTTGGAGAATTTCATACTTACAGGACATATTGTATGAAAGTGGAACAAAGGTAAATCGTGAGTAATCTACCTAAATGAAGAATCTATGAAAATAGCACGTAAGCAAAGGAAATCGTAAAATAGAAACAAAATGAACTTATACTCAGAATCAGAAAGAGACAACGGACGTTTCTTGGATTTCTAATAAGGAAGGAAGGCTTGGAGAAATTTACACTCACATGACATATCGAAAGAAAAGCTGACAGGGGAAAGTAGCGGGCTATCTAACCTGTGGGTGGAAGGCGAACGGGTTAGCGGAAGTGGCTACAAAAGTTGTTGAGAGCTATTGTTACTGACGTCTTGAAAAGACATGCAGTGGCGGTGAGAGTAGGGACAGCCGGCACAAATGTGCCGGCCTCGAAACCCGAGGGGCATCAAGAAAATAACCATTTAGGGGTTTAAGGGAGCTTCTTTACAAAAAGTAGAGGGCAAAATTACGAATCGGTATTTTATTGAAAAAAATGCGAAGAATAAAACCAGTTCCAAAGCAGCTTAAAAGTGCATTTTTCGAACATTCTTTGCAGCAAAATGCGCGATGAGTTCCTCAAAGTCTAATTCTCGTGCCAAATCACACTCGATCGCAAGGGTTGTCAAGTAAAACACGCTCTTTAAATGTCTTGTAAGACAAGCTAGATCCCAGCATCTCAGCATCTCCTTTTCGGACCGGGGGTCCTCAAAATAATCTGAGACCTCGAAATTATCTCCCGTTACTGGAGTCAAGGCACATAGAAGATGTTGGTTCCAATCTGTGAGAATGGTTACAAAAACATCCCTCTCCCCAAACTTATAGAAAAATCGTACAAATGGATTTCGCGATTTCTTCTGATCCAGTAAGATAAACCACTTCTTGGTCTCATCCGCCATATTTCTTTTCTTGTCTTGAAGTAAAAACGATTCGATCGTTTGTCTCAAAACGACCTAAAAGACATTTGCTAATACTGGAAGTGTTTTCAAAGGCGAAGAAAACCAGGCGACCATAAAAGTTAGACAAGAGAGATGAAAGAATGATTGTGAGAGTCTCAGTGGGCAATCTAAGATTAAGAGCCAGACAAGTGAGAAGTTAAAATAGTCTTAACAGTGAAGTTTCAGTTGATACACTACGCAGTGTATTACAAAAAAAAATCTTAAACTGGTGTGCAGCAGCAACAACAAAGATTAAAAAAAAACATCGGAATAAAAGATGGAAGTTGTCAAAATGTCTAGAACATCTAACATGACATGCTGGAAATTGGCAAAAGGTAATTTTTAATGATGAATGTAAAATAGAGTTATATTCTAATGCAAGAGAATATATACGAAGGATAGTGGGAGAAAGAAACAATGCAAAATACACCACAAAAACGATAGAATTTTGGTGATGGACACATAATGCTGTGAGGTTGCATCATAAGCGAAGATAAAAGAAAATTGGTTTGGTAAAGATTTTATTATAAATCTCAAACGATTATTTAATGCCGACAAAAAATTTTAGGATAGGTTCGTATTAATAGAACATGTATGATTTGTAAGAAACCAGTTTCTAGATTAGGTTTCATTGACGTGTTTTTATAAAGAGGGTTTTTATAGAGAGTCTTGTTTTGTTTGGTTTATTTTATTTTACGTCATATCAATTTCAATGGGCTATTTAATGCAAACAAGATTTTTAGCATAGTTTCGAATTAATACAATATGTATTCTTTGTAAGAAATTAGATTCTAGATTAAGTTTCATTGACGTGTTTAAATGAGATTTTTTGTAGGGAATCTTCTTTGGTTAGTTTTATTTTATTTTACCGTATATCAAACTCAACGGGCTATTTAATGCTTGTTATTTTTAGAATAGACGAAAATAAAATAAATAAAATTTTTAAAAATCCATAAAAAACAATTGGGTTGATTATTTTTACAATAATCAACCCAAATAAATAAATAATAACAAACAAATTAACAAATCAATCCCGCCAAAATAACCGTTAGAATAGACTACAATAACTAATCCGAAAATTGGACGTAAAAATAGGTATAACTGCTATATAACGAAAAAGAAATTACTACTTTACTCAAAAATAGAAAACCAAATAGAGTAAATGAAAATATACAAAATAAAAAAAATTAGTAAATAAATAAAAAAACAAATAAAAATTAATCCAAATAAATAAATGAACAAATTAACAAATCAGCCCCGCTAAAATAACCGTTAGAACTAACAAAAATAAGCATAAATTAGCAAGTAAAAATAATTAATCCAAATAAATAAATTAATTAATTAAAAAGTGTCCCTCCACCATCAAAATAACAGAATAGACAACGGCAAGCAATCGAAACATTGGACGAATAAATAGCTTTATCTTCCCAGACCAAAACAAACTATTAAATAAGCGACCTAGGCATATCACTCCGCCATTTTTTTACTACTTTAATAAAATATCAAAAACCGAAAAGAATAAATAATACAAAATGAAAATGTAAAACAAATAAAATAAATTAATCCAAATAAATAAATAAAAAAAAACACAAGCTACTCCCGTAAAAATAACCGCCAGAATAGATTACCCACAATGCACCACTGACCCATATATATATAAAAAAATCCAACATTCGCGGCCTGACGATTGCGTCTAGCATGAAACAGCCTGTCGCCTCTGAGTGTTGACTTCAATGTTCACTTTTATATATATATATATATATATATATATATATATATATATATATATATATACTCCGAAACGCTGAATATCGTGAATAAGTCTCACCAGTGATATTCGAATCTCAGTCCTCGTAAATTTACATTCGCTATCCAGAGAACTATGGTTAAACCTCCAAATTAAACATTTTCGTTGGAAAAGGCACATACACAATCTGTAGCAGCATTTAATAGCTCCATTTAGAAAATGGCAGCCAATATCCGGACTATTCTCTTTAGAGAGAAGTATGAAAAAAACACATAAGCCTTCTTGAACAATATTCCTTAATCTGTATTGTATTTTTGTTTCTGTAGACTGACAGCGACAGTAAATTTGGTTTTACGGCTTATCAACCTTTTAAGCTTTTTAAAAAAGACGATACATATTTCAGGCTAATGATTGTGAGATAATGCCTCCTTGCTTATGCCTCTAAGGTACGACCTATTTTGGGCACTAATTGAGTAAACGGGTCCACTCGTAAACGCTAGAAAAATTTATTTGGGAAATCATTTTTGTAGATTAGGCTTCTTCAGGACATGACATTTGTCAAAATCGAAAGATATTGACTTTTTTTATCGATTTAGAAGAGCCTGTTCATAATATCGATATAGTAGAAAATCCTTACCTGACTTTACGTACCAAAACTGACCTTTTGTTAAATGGATTTCTTTTGTATAGCGAACAGGTATAACGGTAGAGTAATAGATAGCGGCTCGGATTGAGAAATCGGAGAGCCGAGTTCGAATTCCACTCGAATCCATTACATTCACCTACGTACTAATACCCTTGGGAAAGGTATGAATCCTCTTCTTCTCCCACCAGCTATGGGTAAATAGCGGGAAAGACCGGATTTTATAGACTTGGATGGAAACTGATCTACCGAAGAAAGAAATGGCAACCTACTGCGGGAAAAAAAAATCTGTCTCGTCACTCCTGTATCGAAATGATCGCCTAAGCGTGTTCACACATGGCACATAAATGACTGGTGTACCTTTTTAATTAAAGAAAATGTTTTTACATAAATTATTAAAAACAGATGCTAGAAGGTGTAGCACTGGAATCCGAAAATGCATTGAGATAGCCAAAGGCTACCTCCAAAGCTGAGAAAAATATTAAGAAACAGAAAAAAATTCGTTAGAAAGTGTACTGAACTCTTACGTAATATCAGTCTTTCTATATGATAGGGAATGATGGATAATCGGATGAAAAATAAACTTGAAAAACAGAAATCTGGTTCTACAGAAGGATACTGAGAATATCATGGAATATCATGTGAGCAACGACGAAGTTTCATAGAAAATGGAAACAAAAAATATACTTATACTTAAAATAAAGAAGAGACAGTTGAAGTTTGTAGAAGACAGAGGCGATGAGCTTTACGACCGAGGAAAGAGGGCCTGGAAATTTTGATATTCACAGGACAGATTGAAGGTCAGAAGAAATATATTATTGTTTTCCTCTGCCCCTCTTAGACTCTGTCGTTTGAGTATGAGATTTTTCAATCCGCTTTTCCTCATTATGCGCCCTATAATTTTCAAATGTCTCTTCCTGGTGCTGCTTCCGTTTCCATTAAAATTTC